AGTAAACAGCAAGAAGGAAGAGAGGAAAGAAGAAGGAAGAAAGAGGAAGGAGAAGAGAAAAGGTCTGGTTAGAAAATAGGAAAAAGTCAACCCTAGTTTCGGCCAGACCTGTTATTATATTATTAATGTGATTGGAAAAGACATAAGTGCCCTTATTTAAGTAAGAGACACTCGAACTAACATAATAGTACACATCAGCACTCTCAACAGGTACAAAGACCGAAATACCCCTTCACTAACAATTTCCATGTCATAACTGTAATAATATTCTTCAAGATTTTACATGTGAATGCAGTTTCTTCAGGTGTCCTTTCTCAAATATCATAAATTTGATCTTATAATCATAAGTAAAATGGTTGACAATTGGCTTTGGAATAATGTTATTTTTCAAAGATTAACTGGTTTACTGGATTTCAGGATTAAGTATATTTCAGTTGAGTTTGTTGCTGGGTATATATAGTTGATGATATATATTGGTTTACTTTGTAGGTTTATCATTGGTTTCTTTCTAGCGGCCATTCCTTGGTATGTTGGAGCTTTTGTTTTACTTTGTGTCAGAAGAATGGATTATAGAGAGAAACCTGGGTATATTGCATGCACAATTGCTGTAAGTTCCCGATCTTCCATTAAATTGAATTGATAATGGTAATTTTCATATTTTTCTGTTTGTATAATATTTGAGTTTCCATGTTTTACATGGCAACCATGGTCATAGTGTTGATAGTGACTTTTGTCTTTCATAAAACAGCTATTTTGTGTCATAGGAGTCATCACAAAAGGTCTGGTTGAATTAATTTGCAGTTGTATCTTTTCTTTATGAAATAGTCATATTTGTTCCTACAAGCCCAACTATTTTATGAGCCAGGAGCTTTTAATTATTTTAGAAAGGCATAATTTCTTCTATTCTTCTCTGATGAGTTTTGAGAACTTCAGAGATGAGTTTCCAGCTACATGGGGGATTGATATTGGCAGATCTAACCATCTATCTGATGAGGAACCTCTAGATTATAATTTATAAATTAAAATTTACCATATTATTTTGCTTGATTTTCTTTGAAAAATATACATAGTATCAAAAATCAACTTATTCTGACATGTGGAAAAGGCTGTTGGGCTGCGACATGCCTCATGGAAATAGGATAAAATGGAGAACCATGTGAACCCTTTCTTGCTGCTACATCTGATGTTAATCCAGTCCGAAGAACAGCCCAGTGCATGACTCTCCTGCCAATGCGGGGTCTGGGGAGGGACAGATGTATGCAGCCTTACCCCTGCAGATTACACAGAGAGGTTGTTTCCAAGATGCTAATCAAGTCCTTGTGACCATCATTTTGTACTAGGTTCCCTGAATCTATACCATCCGAAACATTCATCAACACTACTGTGTGAAAAGGTCACAAGTGCCTATGTGTTTACATGTCTTAGATGCTAAGGAGTAGAGGCCAGCTAGAAACAATGAATTATAGGAGTGTCTTGGCAATTCTTTTTCATTTACACGCATTGTTTGGAACAATAACAATACTCTACTTTGTGATTGTTTGTAGTTAAAATTTAAAAATTGACCAGAAATTTACATGCTACTAAAAAATGCAGTGTCAATAATCTAAATTCTTAACAAGAGAGAGAGAGTAGAAAGTAGAAACACATGGTGATGCATTAATGCCAATTTGTAAAACTATATTTTGGAGGGTTTTTTTTTTTTTGTGTGTGTGCATCAACATATATGAATTGTATAATGTGGATGGCCAAACTTTTCTCTAAAAAATGAGACCACTAAATATGAATTGTATAATGTCTTGTGGCATGGTCAATATTTCTGTTCGTTAATGCAGTATTGAACTTGAGGCAGCAATATTCAGCATTTAAGATCCATCATCTCTTTAAACTGCATCATAGATGTGCTCTGTGTGTGTGTGTGTATAAAAAGAACGTTTTAGTATTTTTGTTCCATCAACTAGCTTGGCTTGTGGGGTTCTCTTTCTTGGCCATTTATTTACAACTTGCACTCTACGATTTTAAGCAGATTAGATAAAATAGTGCTCTTTTTTCCTCTTTTCTCACTCACTCAAGAATTGTGATTTCTTGCCATCTTGTCAACAGGCCATTCTTGTTACAATTGCAGCTATTATCGGTGCAACAAAGGGGACTCATACCTGGTGATGCACCAATGACATTTGTAAAGACTGAAAATAGATGTATATTTGAGTATTCTTATTTGTTTAAATATGATATTGTGTGGGTTTAGGTTTGCGTGGAAATTGTCTTTGTGTAAGCTTGTAAAAGTGACTGAAGTTCCTGGATGTTCAAATGGACCTTGAAATTGCTTGTGTTTATGAACACTTCCATGCACACTTTTATTCAGCTGGGCCTTATAAAGTCTGAGATACTCATTTAATGCAACCAACACTAATGTGCCTAGTCACTGTGTTTGATTTGATAGAAAATAAGAATCAGAAAATTGAGGTAAAGTTCTTGAGTAATTTCACAAATTTTGGTAAGAACTTCCTCAACTCTCTATTTTCTCCCTTTTTCTATCGAACCGAACATGGGAGGGAGTCTTGTAAACAAAAATTAAATCATATTATTTTTGCCAATGTATCAATGGAAAATAATCTTTAAAGTAAATTAAATTAAATCAATATCTTTATAATGTGGAAGTAATTATCAACATTATTTTTTGATATAAAGATAAAATTCATTAAACAAAAACAAGGTGATAATAAATCACTCAAAAGAAAAAAGCAAATAATCCAACCGCCAATATCATTCACCCCTGAAACTAACCTCTCTTTCAACAAAAAAAAAAAAAGGACGTGTTTTGCATACTACAAGTAGTCAATAAAATACCATCTCTTGGAGAAATCAACCTCATAAAATTTCTCCAATTAAGACAGTTATACTCCAAAAACCAAGACTTCTTTTGGAACCCTAACCATAGATGTCAAGGTGACGCTTAGGTGATAAAAACGCCTGCATGTTCATATGCATTACACCACATAATATTTTTATATTTTTATTTTACATTATTAATAGTGGTAGAAAGATATCATGCACCAAAAAATACATAAATACTTGGGCTAAAATATTTATATTGTAGGAATATAGTATTAATACCATTGTTCTTACGCTTGTTGTTGAAGATTTAGTTTCAGAAATTTTGAAGTTAAAGTTCTGAGGCATATCTAAAGGCATTGTTTTTAGAATGATATTTGCCTCCACTTAAGTAATTGAGTTATTGTTGGATTGTAGGTAAATTTGTTCTCAGTATAGAACAAAGCATCGAGTAAGAAACTGCAATTAACAGAGTTGGAAAATCTCTAAACAAATCTTTTGTGAAATAGTAGTAATTTGAATTGGGAGAGACAAGAGTGTTCAGCATTGTGAAACAACTTGCTTACAACCATTATATAGGTTGAAGAGCTACCATTAAGGGGGTGTTCTTTTTCTGGACTTTGAAAAAGGGGAAGGGGGGGGGGGACCAAGAATTTCATGTTCTTTTTTGAGATTTATGTGGGGACCAGGGAAAGTTTATTTTCGTGGGTATCACTTACCCGATAGATGAATAACTTTCTCACATCGGAGGAAAATTGTCAATTTGAATGAGACAAAAATGCCCCTTATAATAATGGATTTTTTTAACTAAAAGGGTCATTGCCTTATTTACATAGGAAATAAAAGAGCATGGATAAATGCACTTACCTGGGTAAGTCTTTTCTGGGAAACACTTACCCGGGTAAGTGCATTTACCCAAATAAGTAACTTACTGAAAAACGAACGGAGCCTAAAAAGAACAAGTTTATTTGAAGATACTCTTTATATAATCACAAATTTGAATTAAGTGACTATTTTTTTTAGAATGCAATTAAGTGCCTATTCAAAATTAATAACCGTTAACATTTAAATGATAAATGATGTTCCTTGATCACTTATTTAAGTCATAGTAGTTGGATTTAATTTAAAATATAAATAGTCATGATTCCGCCTCCCTAAAGTGTTCCATTGCATCTTTATGTGAGTTCATGTAAATCACAACATGGGGCAGATGTGATTTGCACCTGCGATAGCTATAGTAATTTGTGATTGTGATTAGGATTTCATTTAATCGTTTTAAATGAAATATGTATGCTTCATTTAATCATTTTAAACCCCTATCGAGTGAGGGGTAGGGGTGCAAGCGAGCTTGGTTAAGTTGGGTCGAGGTCAACCCTAACTCAACCCAAAATTTGGGCTCAAGTTGGCCTGCCTTCTTTACTACTTTCTACCAAATGTATTTATTTCCTAAACTTTAAGGGTTTATGTTAATTCATTATTATGTGTAAAAAAACATAGTTATCATTGTCTCAGAAGAAATTTGTCTAAAATCTTAAGGCTGTGTTTGGTTATAAATGCATGGGAGTGCAAATGTAAAAAATGTAAATTCTTGTTTAATTTTGCTTTGGATTTTACTTTATTCTGCTTCATGTTTTAATTTACTTCATATGTACTGCAATCAAACAAAATAAGTTAAAATTGGAAACGAAAATAGGTCAGAATTTACACTCAAATCATTTGCATTGCCATGATTTTGCATCAGCGCAATTTTATTTGCATTGCAACCAAACACAGCCTAAGGAAATTTATGAAAAAATATATATGCAATATATATGCACACACATATAGATAGATAGATATATATATATATAAATAGATAAATACTTTAATGAAAAAAAATATATACATAAATATATAGATATATACATTAAATGATTAAAGGATATGCATGCATGCATCAATACACATATCCATAACTACCTACATACATAAATACATCTTTATATAATATTTTATACACGAAAATATGAAGTTTTCAACCTTTGTGAGGTGGGCCGCACTCAGAGGGAATATGAGAAATGTTGGTAAAAATTCTCGAAACCCCAAATCTACCACCCTTCAACCAAAAATCGGGGCTTTCCACTGAAACTTCTTATAATGGATTCTCTATAACAACTTAGTGAAAGCAGCTTAACAAAAGCTTTAGTGCTCATTTTGGGAGAGTTTTCACGCAATGGCTTTTGGCTTTACAAGATGAGGTCCACATGAAACCTTAAAAAGTTATGTTAACTAAAATACCCAGAAATTCCCAAAATTCAAGAAATCAATTTTCACCGAATTTTTTGGGTGAGGCTAATAAGTAGCCAGTTCGGATCAGATAGGCACAATGTTGTAAGCATATTCAATGAACAATTGAAAATTTTTTTGACACCTGTCCCTTAAAATACCCTCAACCCATCCTTAAAAAATATTAAAAACCACTTTTAACAGTTGTCAAAATATTTATCAAGTGCTCACTTACATGCTTAGTTATGTTATATTTGCTAGATCCGGTCCCATTAGTAGCTTCTTCAAAGCAACTCAGTTAAAACTAAATCACTCTCAAGATTCATATGGCACTTGGGTTGAGGATTTTGTTGGGCCCTGCTCCAAATGCGAGCAAGCCCAGAACTGCATGAAATTTCTCTAGCTTCAGGCACATCTCAGCGACCCAATCCGTCTTGGGTTTTTAGTAGACCTAGCAATTGGGTTGGATAGGTCGGGTTTGGGTTGGGTTAAGGTGCTTCGGGTTGATTTCGGGTCGGGTTGAATTTCGGGTTATGTTGTCAAATGCTAGACCCTAACCCTAAAATGTTTGAGTTAGGGTTGACCCATGGGTCAATTTAGGTCATCCCAAAAAATAATTAAAATTTAAAAAAATAAAGAAAATTTACATGAAAAATGTCAAAATTAAAAGAATTAACCTTAAAATTTCAAATATAAAATAAAAAACTTCAACATTTAACAATTTAAAGAGTAATCAACAAAAAGTAAAGACTAAATAAAAAAAATTAAAGAATAGAAACTTTTAACAATACATAAATAATCCCAATTAGACTTGACAATGGGGTCAGCTGATTGACCCATGACCCAACCCAACCTAATCCCTTTTTTTCGGATTGGATCAGGGCGGGTCGGGTCAATTTCATATTCGCATAACTAAATATGAGACCTTAACCCTGTTTTTCGGATTGGATTGGATCGGGTTCGCGGTTTGGGTCAAATTTTTGCCAGGTATAGTTTTTAGGGTTTTTAACATGCTCGCTTGTCAATTGTTCTATATAAACGAAACAAACCCGCCACTGTTAATTCTTCCTCTTGGAGGGAGGGAGAGAGAGAGAAGAAAAGGGTGTTGTTCTGAGTCCTGCCTCTTCTCTTATCTGAAAATGGGCAATTTCAGGGTGAACTTCTCTCCAGTATTCTGCAGTTTTTCGCAAAATGTAGCTTTGTCTTTAGATTTCCTTTTTCTTTTGTTTTTTTAATGATGGTTTTCTCGTTYCTGGATCCAGTTTCACCAATATCAGGTGGTCGGGAGAGCGCTCCCTTCCGAGACTGATCAGCATCCGAAGATCTACAGGATGAAGCTCTGGGCCACGAACGAGGTTCGCGCCAAGTCGAAGTTCTGGTAAGGAATTCAAACCCAAAGCACCGAATCTGAGCTATTCCTTCGATTCCCAGTACTTGTATCTTGTTTTATATCATGCAATTCGGTGGATATGAATCGTTTTCTTCCGATGAAGTGCTAGGCCTGTAACGAGGACTGATTTCTTCCGACTATTTTTAACTATTATGAGCGTATGTGACACTTACGAAACTGCCATGTTGTTTTTTGATTGATTCGTCCAGGTACTTCTTGAGGAAGCTCAAGAAAGTCAAGAAGAGTAATGGGCAAGTACTGGCAATCAACGAGGTATTTGTCATTTCTTTACTCGATTAGGCTTTAGATGGGGTCGTTGGATTGAGAAGGGCATGGTTAGAATGTCTTATTTTGTCAAGCAAGAAATTTAGTAGGATAAACAAAATAGAATGGAAACATGGTAGAACCTTCTTGAAATTTGATGAATCCCTTTTACTTTTATCGTTACAATTCAAAGTACCGTGTAGTTTCTTACGATTTGCTGTTCATGGTCTCTTCTTTTTCTAGAATGAGTCATCATTGGAAATCAAGAATGAAACCATGTGATTTAACAAACCTAAAGTTATGTAATTATCATCATATGTTGTTATAAAGTAAAGAAGTATGAGTTGCCCATTTTGTTTCCATAAATTTATTGCATTGTTTTGTTGTTATAACCCTAGGTCTAGTTCCCCTTAAAACACTTCAGACTGCTAACGACACCTTCTTTCTTCCCAAAGAACCTTCTGCCAAGCCAATCTGGTGACCCTCTTGAATAGCTATTCAAGTGTGCCTTAATCTCTGATCATATATCTGAGGTTTCAAGGTATCTCAAAATGCCAAGACACCAATAAATCATAACATGATAGTCACCTTGAACCTCAATGCCATTCCATGGCAGTCACCTTGAAGTCCTTAGGGTACCTTCTCCCACTGGATCCGAGAAACCCGAGAGAATAAATCCTTCTCGATTTCTAAAATCTCCACCAATGTCTGATAATTTAGGCTTACCCAGCGCACAACTATCAAGTTAAGCTCAATTACTCCACTGTGGCACTGCAGTCCAGTTCAGAACAGTTGGTCTCCTTTGTTATG